GGGTGTGTTCAGTGAAGGATTTTTTTTTTTCAGAAAAGTCAAATTTAACTGAACGCTATTAGTACCTTACCGTAGGTTTGGCACGACACTTTAGCGTACTCTAACCAACACTGCCTTATCTCTTCTCTCATCATGCTCTAATTCATGTCCCTGGATTCTCATATTCTTCCTATGTCCCTTGTGCCCTATGTCCCTAGTGCCCTCTGCCCCTAGTGTCCTCTGCCCCTTGTGCCTCTGACCCTTGTGCCTCTGACCCTTGTGCCTCTGACCCTTGTGCCTCTGACCCTTGTGCCTCTGACCCTTGTGCCTTTGACCCTTGTGCCTATGACCCTTGTGATCTCTGCCCGTTTCGCAGTAGCCTGGCAGGGAACGGCCTCACAGGTCCTTTACCTGACCTCTCCCGCTGGCATGTCAACCTCCTTCGGCTGTACGAGTCTTTCATTCTCCTCCCTCTCTCTCTCTCTCTCGAACCCTCTATTTCCTGGAATTGGTTTGTTCTCTCAATTGGTGACAAAGCTTACATTGAAGGCTATGCCAGATCCTAGCTAGCTGACTCTCTCTGCACATGGCCGTGCTTTCACCTGTGTGTCTGCACTGGTGTGCTCGCATATGGCCATGCTCTCACTTGTGGACTCGCAATCGTGCATTGGCTGGCTGTCAACAACAACAAATTCACAGGGCCCATTCCTGACTCCATCTCCACGCTCTCCACGCTGGATGCCATGTGAGTCATCTCCATTCGCACATGTCCGTCTGCACTGGCGCTGCCTTGTTGAGAGTTGATTGCATCGTTTGCCTCTTTTTTACCTAGAATATTTTCGTAAGAAAATTCACATTCGTCACTATGCTCAACTGCACTCCCCTTCCTGAACACCCCTGCAGCATCCTCAACAACAACCAACTGACAGGCTCGATTCCATCAGCAATCTTTGCTATGACTAATCTCAAATACCTGTGAGCTCATACAAGCACTCTTGACTCTTGAGCCTGAAGATTTGATGGTATCCTGTGCCTATGCCCAGTGAGCCATCCCAAGCACGAGATGTTTATAATGTGCTTGCTGCTATTCCAAGGTCGCAGTGCTCTTCCTAGTCTGTCCGTCACTACTCTCCCTGTGCTCTTCCTAGTCTGTCCGTCACTGCTCTCCCTGTGCTCTTCCTAGTCTGTCCGTCACTGCTCTCCCTGTGCTCTTCCTAGTCTGTCCGTCACTGCTCTCCCTGTGCTCTTCCTAGTCTGTCCGTCACTGCTCTCCCTGTGCTCTTCCTAGTCTGTCCATCACTGATCTCCCTGTGCTCTTCCTAGTCTGTCCGTCACTACTCTCCCTGTGCTCTTCCTAGTCTGTCCGTCACTGCTCTCCCTGTGCTCTTCCTAGTCTGTCCGTCACTGCTCTCCCTGTGCTCTTCCTAGTCTGTCCGTCACTGCTCTCCCTGTGCTCTTCCTAGTCTGTCCGTCACTGCTCTCCCTGTGCTCTTCCTAGTCTGTCCGTCACTGCTCTCCCTGTGCTCTTCCTAGTCTGTCCGTCACTGCTCTCCCTGTGCTCTTCCTAGTCTGTCCGTCACTGCTCTCCCTGTGCTCTTCCTAGTCTGTCCGTCACTGCTCTCCCTGTGCTCTTCCTAGTCTGTCCGTCACTGCTCTCCCTGTGTTCTTCATAGTCTGTGCACTGCAATCATCCTCGTGCCCCTCATCTCGTGTGGGCTACCCCTCCGCTCGACCATCCCTGCAGCTGGCTGGCCAACAACGGTCTGAGTGGCAGTCTGCCGGCTGCCATCAGCCGCCTGGAGAAGCTTGAGCAGCTGTGAGGTTTCTAGCTCCCTGCACACTCCATGCGCCTCGTCTTGCCTCTCTTCCCCCCTCTCTTCTTGTGTTCTTTGCCCCTCTTCATTCTTTGCATTCTTCTTCTCTTCTTCTTAACCCTTCTTGCTATACACCTCCTCTGCCTCGCCCGCCTGTGTGGGCCCTAAGCGCTGCCCATCGGCAGCAGACATTTTGCCATGCTCCATTGCACCATGCAGCTTCCCATGCGCTTCGGCACCTCTTGGCTTCTCCCCTCTCAGCTTCTGCCTCTCTTGGCTTCTCCCCTCTCGGATTCTCCCCCTCTTGGCTCTCCCCTCTCGGCTCCTGCCCTGCTTGGCTTCCCCGCTCTCGGCTTCTGCCCCTCTTGGCTTCTCACCTCTATGCTCTGCCTCTCTTGCCTTCTCCCCTCTCCTTTTCTGCCCCTCCCTGTGTATAACGTTGACCCTCTCCTCTCCCTGGTCTTTGTGGGTTGACTGTCACAGCTGGCTGGACGACAACAACATCGAGGGCCCTCTGCCATCCGCCATCTGCTCACCGCCCTGGCTGTGGCGCATGTGAGTGCTCGTGGTGCACTGTTCAAGGAACTGCATATACAAACACGTGGATGAAAGATAAGGAAATGGTGAGTGGAACCTAGTCTCTACTGCATTACACGTGCATGGCTGTGGCACCTGTCGTTCTCTAGAGCGGCATGAGAGTGACCTCTCAGGCAGCATCGTCCGTGGGATCCCATTGTTTGTAGCTGTCTCTCATGGTGCCATTCTGTTTCTTTTGCAATGTGCTGCTGACAGCATGATGAGCAACAACTACCTCTATGGGCCCCTGCCAGACTGCCTCTTCAACAAGTGTGTCAATCAAATGTGAGACAATTTCCTCATGCACTCGTCCATGGCTCGCAGATATTCACTCTGCCACATGCGTGCATATACCCACCCACACGCACAACATGCTAGCATGCATTTTTCGAATAGCTCGCATGCATGCACGGATTTTCTTACTATCTCACAACGGCCAGCGCATAAAAGGACGAGGAGCATGCATGCATGCTGCATGGTGCTGATTCCAGCACATGGAGGCATTCTCCCACCTCTATAACTGCTACTGTTGCCTCTCCCGCACCTCCCTCATTGACGTGAGCAACAACAGCCTGTATGGGCGCATCAACCGCAACTTCAGGAACATGGTGGCGGATGGGGATGCCCTCATCAACTTGGCTCACAACTACTTCTATGGCGACGCAGTGCTCATTGCTGCGGGCTGCCAGGTCTGCCCCGATGAAATCAGCAAGCCCAACAACCTGCTGCTGGGGGACACCAGCAGCGGTATGGGGGCGGGGAAGTGTGTTGGAGCCATCTCGGGCATGAGGGACTACTCGGTTGCTGTGTCAGGCAAGGGGGCGAGGGTGGGTCTTGCTGGCAACTGCCTGACACTCAACCCAGAAGCGGAGTGCTCCTCCAATGCCACCCAGCGCAGCGCAGCAGCCTGCCAGGCCTTCTGCAGCATCACTGACAATGGCCCATGTGATAGTCATGGGGCGTGTGTGCCAATGCCGCCTGTACCGACCCCCCCCTCCAAATTCACGTGCCTCTGTGATGCTGGGTACTCCACTCTTAACACGGGCAATGGCTCCACATGCGCCTTTGTCCGCACCACTGGTGAGCCTTGTTAGGATGCACCTCCACCACTGGGTAGCCTTGTTTGGATGCACCTCCACCACTGGGTAGCCTTGTTTGGATGCACCTCCAAAACCATTGGTGATCATGTTGCTGCTGCACGAGCTCACACATGATTGTTCGCTGCTGCTTCACGCTGTTCTGTTGTGAAGAAAAATTGTTGAAGTCTAGGCTAGCTTCACTTCGCCGTTTTCTGTACGTTCAGTTTTCACTATGAAGCTCTTGTGTGGATTCGGTTCTTGTTTCCAACCCTACTTGTTCTCTCTACCCATATCTAGTGTCAACTCCTCTTCACCCAAGTCTAGTTTCCCAAACCTTTGCATGTGATCATTACTGTTGAACGCAACCTATATTTTTCCCATTCCCTCCTCTCTCCTCCACCCCCCACCTCCCACCTCACACCTCCTTGTAGTGTCCTCCTCTCTGTCCACATGTGCAATAGTGGTGGGCATGGCTGTGGGCTGCTTTGGTGGATTCACACTGCTGGCTGCTGTGCTCGCCTGGCTGCTGTGGCCTCGTGGCCCAAGTGAGACCCTGCTACCGTGATGCATCTCCTTTTGTACGCCTGCTCTTGTTCGCATCCCATTGCTCCTGCCATAGCTACATCCGTGCACTCCTCTCACCCCCACCGTCTCACCCTCCCTCTGGCCCCATTGTGCTTTATGTGTATGCGCAGGGAAATGGGCGGGTCTGGACGTGTGTGAGCAGTTCTCGCTGGACGAGATGGCGAGGGCCACTGACAACTGGTCAAAGGATAACGAGCTGGGCAGGGGTGGCGCTGACATTGTCTACAAGGGTTACTCGCCACAGGGGCAGCTGTGGGCCATCAAGCGCTCCACTGTCGTGACCAACGACTTTGAGTCGGAGGTGAGGCCTTTCCCCCAGTTCTTAGTGTGCTCACTGCCTTTTATATTGAACCCTAGCCTGAAATGGTTACAAATGAACCTACCCCTAGCTGCATATTTACAAAAGGCATGGCCAAACGTAATCCTATCTTGATGTTTCGTCTGCAGGTGCGAGCCATGGCATCTCTCCCCCATGTGAATCTGGTACGGCTGCTGGGCTTCTGTGTGGACCACAACGTGGAGACGGGCAAGCAGGAGCAGATCCTGGTGTATGAGTTTGTGGAGAATGGGGATTTGTACCACCACACCCATAGGTCCAAGAGTGAGTTATACTTGCCGTTTCCTGGAGAATGAATGGCATATGCTGGATTGAAGCGTCACTGAAATGATCACTCTTCATGCACCTCTTTCACATCATCATCTCTCACCAAGCCCCCTCTCGCTGCGGCAGCGCCTGCGAGTGGCGCAGGGAGCAGCAGAGGGGCTGCCCTACTTGCGTGGGTTTGAGACGCCCATCATTCACCGTGACATCAAGCCGACCAACATCCTTGCGACTGCCGGCATGCACGCCAAGGTGGCTGACTTTGAGCTGCTCAACCTCCTCACCCACGGCGATGCCGATGAGACCAGGGTGGCGGGCACTCCCGGCTATGTGGACCCTGACTGCAACCGCACACGCATGGCCACCATTAAGAGTGATGCCTACAGGTGGGATGAGTGCTCTATGAATGCCCTGTAACAGCTCCCCATCGTTTTTCACTGGCAGGTCCCTTTGTGTTACCCCGTCGTGATTTTTAGCCTCTCTAGTTCGTCATACTGGGTCCCTCTCGCCATTGTGCTTCTGCAGCTGCTGACTGGGACAGCACTCCAGTGTCATGGATCACACATCAGAGCATGGGTCTGCGCATGACATAGTGTGGGTTTGAGTCCCGTCTGCCATTCTGGTGCGTGCGTCCAATTACCTCAGGCAATGAAGAAGGTGGAGGCATTTGAGGTGGAAGAGCTCAGGGAGAGCATGCTAGAAGCAAACAAAGAAGCCACAGTGGGCTTTGCAGGCGCTCTGGACTAAATCAAGGCGCCAGGCATACGGCGGCCCGGCATGGAGGCAGCGTTCCGCCTCAATGCCCTCATTGACAAGCACCGCCTTCACAAGGAGGTCGAGTGGGAGAGGGTGGAGAATGAAGCAAATACAGGCCCTGCAGACCCATCCTTAAGGAACCGATCTGGCCAGTCTAGGTCTCGTAGGGAAGGGTCTCAGACGACCAGTGGCCTACATTGGAGAGGCAGCTCCTCCGTGAGCCTTGGCTCCATGGTCCATGGAATGGGGAGTTGGGTGCGGTGCAGATTCCGCTAGAGTTTGCGGAGCCATCGTGGGCTTCCTTTCCGTTGTGTGACAATGAGATTGGGAATAAGGCTACCCGTAGTCTCTGGATATAACAAGCCAGGGAGGTACAAATTCCGGTCAAAGTAGTAGGGGGGCAAAGCAGAGGGAGCATGGCAATGGGGGCATGGCAGGGGGAGCATGGCGGGGAGGGAATGGCAGGGAGGGCATGGCAGGGGGAGCATGGCAGGGGGAGCATGGCAGGGGGAGCATGGCAGGGGGGGTGTGGCAGGGGGAGTGTGGCAGGAGGAGCGTGGCAGGGGGGTGTAGCAGAGGGAGAATGATAGGGCTAGCATGGCAAGGGGGCATGGCAGGGGGAGCATGGCAGGGGGGGGATGGCAGGGGAGCATGGCAAGGGGGGCATGGCAAGGGGAGCATGGCAGGGGGGGAATGGCAGGCGGAGCATGGCAGGCGGAGCATGGCAGGCGGAGCATGACAGGGGGAGCATGGCAGGGGGGCCATGGCAGTGGGGGCATGGCAGGAGCATGGTAGGGGGGAAATGGCAGGGGGAGCATGTCAGGTGGAGCATGGCAGGGGGGGATGGCAGGCCCTGTGCATCGGGTGGATACTCCTGTGGCTGTCAAGCTGGAGCAAACATGCAATCTTTCACCCAGTACACCCTAGGGTGGTATGCTTCAGTTGCTGCCTCTGTTTGTTTATTATCATGAAGCTTACATGCAAGCTAAATTTTCAGCAGGCACTTAACTAGAGAAAAAAGACAAGCAGCTAACCAACAGGCAGAAAACACCAGCTCAGTGCCTGCCTAGTCCCTAAGCAAACCCTGTACAGTATTCTGCGCGCAGTCCAAACTCGCGTTGGATTCTCCCTTGACTGATTCGCTTGTCTCCTTGTGACAGACTTGTCAGGGAACCATAATGTACTTGCCACGCCAAACGCCATTGCAAGGGAGAACGTTGTACTCCACGAACTTTGCACTGTCGCCTCCGTAGTATCTCAACAGCGAGGTGCAACTCGTATTTGGCCGCACCATCTTTACACGGCCCTTTTTCCCAAGGCCAATTGCAGATGCTGCAAGAAGAGAAACATCAGCATAAGGTTGGTTCGACCACCTCTGGCTGGGGAGAGGATAGAGGCAAATGGTGCGACCAATCTGATCTAACAGGAAAGAGAGGAATGGGGCACAAGTGGGAGCCACACATGGTCACAAAAGAACTAGCCAAGAAATTCTTTGCCACATAGCACCAAGAACCAAGAAGTGGCACGCGGGAATGCGCAACTCACCCAGAGATGCAAGGAGCAGCACGAGCGCGAGCACAAGCAGGGCGCGGAGGAGATTAGCGGCACGAAGGGGCTTGGCGGTTGCCATGGAGGACAACACCGAGGGATTCTGGAAAAGCGGTAGCTTGAGGACTGAAAAGCGTTAGAATGCGTGTAGATTTGCAGACTGCTGATTGAAGGCAGATGGTGATTGCTTGAGGTTGCTTCGACATTTTTGAGAGTCTCAAATATATGCTTCAGGATGATGTTGTGATGACCCAAAACCTGGTGTGACACACCGCCCATCCAATAATTCCCTGCATAGGGGCGGGTCCCGATTGTTCAGGTTCAGAAGTCCGGCGAGAGCGACCCGATTTTGTGAGGCGTATCGTTACGGTGCTGGGGATGGCACTTCCAAAAAAATATGTAACATGGGACACACAAGGTTGGTGTACGATTGGGCAAGGGGGGGCAGATGTGGGCGGAGGATTTGGCCATGTGCTTGACGAAAACCAGGCGCTCTCGCGTGAATCTCGTCACCCAAAGCTGTGCTTGGTTTTCGCCCTGCGAACCTTCAGCTTCATAGGAGAGGTGTTTGGTAACTGCGCCTGGTAGCTGCGCCTAGGAACTGTTCTTTCCACCCAGCTAATTTTGCTTTCCACTTCTGTTTTCGCGCTCGATCATGAAATATATTGTCGGGGATTTTTCATGTTCTGTTCCCGAGTTCGTGAGAATGCAACTGAACTTTTTGTAACCACGCTCTAGGTTTATGGATGCGCGACACGGAGGGGGAAGACGTTCCGCCAACAAGGCATCCCGATCTCCAATAAGTGTCACGCCAAAACAATAATTGTTGATACAACCTAGCGCAAAACATGGAGGGCAAAAGTCGGGCACAAACGTATTTCCAACTCAAAGGTTCATCACAAACAAACAAAGAGGCTATCACAACCATGCCAAAATCCCCACGGATGTGGTAAAGTAGGAATAGGGTGCTCATTGAGGTACTGAAAAACTTAATAAGACAGCATATGAGCAAACACCATTAAGCAATGTAAGGAAAATCCATCTTTTTGTGATAGCAATGTTTTGAATACATTGATGCAAACAAGTCTGAACGTATGTCAGAAAAACAACAAAAAAAAAAAAAACCCACCACTCTGGTAAGAAAAAAATATATTAAACAAACAAGTCCAGTACTATTAACAACATGCACTACGCATGAGAGCCGAATTTGCTGCTGTTTAAAGAAGACCTGTAGTGGTGGTGGTGGTGGTGGTGGTGGGGGAGGAGGAGGAGGAGGAGGAGGAGAAGGAGGAGGAGGAGGAGGAGGAGGAGGAGGAGGAGGAGGAGGAGGAGGAGGAGGAGGAGGAGGAGGAGGAGGAGGAGAATGAGGAGGAGGAGGAGGAGGAGGAGGAGGAGGAGGAGGAGGAGGAGGAAGAGGCAGAAGAGGGAGCATCCTGGTGGGTGGGTGGCATATCAGAACGCATAGAGGGGTCACCAATATTGTGAATGTGGCAGTAGTCGTTGCTCAGCTGCAACTGGGGACGTGATGGTGGTGGTGGAGGAGGAGGCAGCAAGGAGAGAAGCAAGTTGGATGTTGCTGAGATGTCCAGTGGTCACTTTGTTTGACACATTGAGGCACATAGCAGCACAACAGTGTGGGTATGTGTGTGCTAAATTTCAAAGAAGTAATGGCTTGAGGTAAAGCAACCTGCACATCTTTTCTTCAATCTCTCCCGCATGGGCATGCAATGGATACGTCAAACATGTCAGCAGCCGACAGCCCGCAACCGAAAGCCAGTAGACAATCATGAATCCACTGTCCCCTCCTCTACCTCCCCCTTCCCCCTCCCCCCACCCACCTCCAAGGCCCATTTCCCACTAAAACAGCACTGACAGAAGGTGCGCCCTTAGTGTGTGAGCAATACTCGATAAGACCCCCTCGGTTTCATGCGTTGTCCATCTTTCTCGTTCCTTGAGGGCTCAGAGGCCTATGACCTTTCATATGGCAGTGGAAGGGGAGGGGGGGGGGGGACCCTTGGATTATCAACCATAATTGATAGAGGATGTGCGGCCATAGCTGATTGGGAGGAGAGCAGCCCCCTGACTCACCACCTTATATTCCCCTCACCACCCTCTTATCCGCTCACCGCCCAATTCTCCCCTCACCACCCTGTTGTTTCCTCACCATCCTGTCGTTCCCTCACCACCTTATCATCCCCTCACCACCTTATCGTCCCCTCACCACCATATCCTCTCCTCACCACCCTACCATCCCATCACCACCCTATCATCCCTTCACCACCCTACCTTCCCCTTGCCTATCCATCTTCCCATTACCTTCTTATCACTCCATTACCTCCCTATTGTCCACTTACTTCCTCTTCCCCCACCCCCCCCCCCCCCAACCCACCCCCACCCTCCCTCCCTTGCACTCTTTTACAAGCCCACCCCCCTCACGCCGGTAGTGGGGGAGGGCGAGCAGCCCTTGGAGTGCTAGTAGTAGTCAATATAGGATGTGCGGCGGGCCACGACGGACTGGGGGGAGAGGAACTGAGTGTGCACTGGGGGGTTTGGTACATGTACAAGGGGGAATTGCCATATGACATGAGCATATTGTGGGTTGTCATGTAAGCCTACGTGCTCACGAACAACTTCTTGCAAGAGGTGAGTATGATATGCATGAGAGAGTTCATGACCACCCCAGCAAGCCTCTTTTGTAGTGCAAGGGCATGTCGCCGCACGACTCAAGTGTGTTTTGGGCTATCAAAAGAGCATGCATGCTTATAAATAACTTTCTACAAGAGGCACATGCTGACCTGAATAGGTTCATCTGGGATGGGGCTGCGACGTGAACTTGCCATGGACGCGGGAGGAGCATGGAAGTGCAGTAATTCATCTATCTTGTCATCTCTAATCTCAGTCTCTACTCTGTGGAACACTCCAAAGCACACCGTTTTTCATGAAAATGGCTAGCACATGTGTGCCTCCGATCGGTTAATTCTAATTCGACACCTGATGTACAGGGCTTGCTTGATCACATCGCAAACCATGACATCGTCAAATCCAGAGGTTGGTGAAATCGTACTACAGGTCGAAACACAATTATTATCGTCCATGTATCCGATATCCTCATCATTCTTGAACGTGGGTTCAACTTGCCCTCCAGTGTGCAACTTATGTGAGACGGTCTTATTGTTATCCCAAATAGCAAAGCAATGGAGATTTACCTTTACAAGAAGAACCTATATACCGGCCGTGCTCGTTTTCACAACCGTGTTGTCGTTCTCAACCAAACTACTTTCAATGATAGTCACCACATCTTCCTCCTCAGAAAAATCTTCAGCCATTCCAAGGAGCTCGACTACACTTGCACCAGCACTCGTGGCGTCTTCAGTAACTATAAGATCCCTACGGCCTCCTTGTTTTGTCGTACTTCACCACTCAGAGGCAACTCGAAGAAAAACCTCTGAAATGAAATTGACGTGGATTGACCTCTCCACAACCCTAACACTAATCATGGAGCAGCCCAAGTGCTGCATAGAAGGCCATCACCTAGTACCAAGTAGGGACAAAGACATGTCTGAGCCTCGCAACACTCACCTCCGCACGAAGGTGATGAAGCAAGATTGGGCAGCACTGGATGGCATATGAAGGGCATCCTTGAAGCCGCTTCATTCCCCTTGCTTTGTACTCAATCCCTGCCCAACTACAATAATATTTGTGCCAACACCTTCACCTTCCGAGACAGAGCACTCTCAGCCTATGCTGAAACCGCTTGGACCTCCAAAGTCACCATGACCCCTTTCTATACCTCCGCTGAACCTGCCACAACCACCGTAATCACAGCCAAACCAGCCACCGCAACCGTCATCAACGAGGCTCCCAAACCTACTAGTGTGCTCCCTCATGCAGAAATAGAAGGTGTGGATGAGGATGAGACCCCACACTCACATGTGTGGGGCTACCAACCCCCTCAATATGAGAATCCACTGGTTGTTCTCAAAGCACAAGGGACCAATACCAATCCTACGGGCGCCCCTGCATTCAACTAACAAGCACTACCCCTGCTCTTATTGGGCTTATAAAGTTGACGTTCGATTCAAGGCTGGTGATTACGTCTGCTGGTACCTGTATCACACTCAACATATAGCGATTCCCCCAAGCTGCTGACGTGGCTTATGCGCAGGTGAAGTCTGCTGCTACCTCTACCACACCCAATGTAGCATCTACCCCATACTGCTCACCTTGTCTGTGCCATGGAAAAATCCACCAATTCCCAAGGTGCTTCTAGGAATGCCGTTGATGCAAAGCGTCGTGCTGTTGACATTCTGTTCTGGACTGTTGGTGACATTGTAGAGATGCAAAAGAACCTTCTATCAGCCCGGGCCAGGTTTTGAGGTGCCTCAATAGGAGGCACCTTAAAAGAAGGGTGCATCAAGGGCTGTTGGTCACCTCAAGCGCTGCAATATGACCGCCTTGTCAGCCATGGAAGACTCGATGGAACCCTAGAGCGCTTCTGGCAATGCCATTGTGCTGTGCACATTGGGGTGAGGACAGATCACGTTGTATGGAGTTAACCTTCTTGTAAGTTACCACACTAGAATTAAATTGGTCACTGTGGAATCCGTCGAGATGGCCGAGTTGGTCTAAGGCGCTGGATTAAGGTTCCAGTCCGAAAGGGCGTGGGTTCAAATCCCACTCTCGACAGTATTTACGATTTCTCTTTGCTGCCTTCCCTTAGAGGATGGAATCTCTACGATAGTGCACTGAATGAGAGCCACACAAAGAGGCCTTGCGCTCTACGCGGCCAGCAACTCCTAGTAGCATACTCAATGGCCTTGTTCTACAGGCAGGAGGGGACATGCTGGAAGTGTAATTTTGCGAAGCCCCACAAAAAATTGCCCTTTGGTGGTTACCATCCAAGGCAGTGATGGACCTCCTCCCACCAAATCAATAAGCATTCCGCTCCCCATTTAGAAGCTCTGCACACAATTGCGAGCTCGGGGAGGTGTTTGGATCAAGTTGGGTAAAACTAACGTGAAAAAAAGGGGGCTGCCACGGTGACACCAAGGGTTCAGGTCTTTCAGATGTCGCATGCGTGCATTTCGTGGGCAGATTTTGGGTTTGCCCCACTGGTAGATCCTGTTAGAAAACTTTCCCTATTCTCCACCTGTTGACACCTTGTTACAAATAGTTACTCCTTGTCGGGGTCACCTCCGAGGGTCCCTAGGTGTCTGGTACAAGGTACCAGCCCCTATCCGAGGGTCCGAGTGCGTTGAAAGGAGTAACCACCAATAAGCCAAGGCTACAGCAGATGGAGGCTTGCACAGCAATAGCGTTCCAGCAGAGTTCCCACAGGGCGTTGGCATATAGCTTTTACTGAGAGAAGTATAGTACAAAGGAAACATTCAAGTCTATTTACACTACTCCACTTGAGATGCATCTGCATACAACCCCTCTCAATCTAACTGAACCACACCAAACCACACCAGCTGCAGCAGCACGAAAATGTTGGGCCACAAGATCTATTCGAACATCCCCATTTTACCTGCGCCTTGCACAACTTTCACTTGGAACGTTCTCATGCTTCTCACCTGCAACATTCACCTGAGCATTTGCATGAACCTGAAATATTCACCTGCGACATTTATCTGCGAGTGGTCATGCATTTCACCTGCGACACTCAGCTAGAAACAATTCCAGGAGGTTGTGAATGTAGCCTCTACCTGACCCCTCGTCATTCACCCTAGAATCACACGTATTCACCTGAAAATGCACACCCCATGTGTTCCCCCACGATCTCGTCCTCTTAACAAGCTTATTCGTGCCCAATACAAGGCTTATGGTGTACCAGATAAATGCTTAAAGGCAAAGACAGTGCACCTGTAAGACGCCCAAACAACTCTCATAAAACTCCCAAAAGGCTCCCATGTGGCTCCCACAGGACCACCATGGGACTCCTACGGGACTGCCATAGGATTCCCATGTGAATCCCGTGGAAATCCCATGGGACTGCCATGGGGCTCCTGTGGGACTGCCGTGGGGCTCCCATGGGACTACCATGGGGCTCCCGTGGGACTGCCATGGGGCTCCCATGGGACTGCCATGGGGCTCCCGTGGGACTGCCAGGGGGCTGCCATAGGACTCCCATGGGGCTCCCGTGGGGCTCCTGTGGGAGCCCCATGGGGCTCCCGTGGTACGTCCATGGGGCTCCCGTGGCACATCCATGTGGCTCCCGTGGCACGTCCATGGGGCTCCCCTGGCACATCCATGGGGCATCCATGAGACTCCCATGGGAGTTCCATGGGCTTTCCATGGGCCTTCCATAGAGCTCACCCCCAGCAAATAAACACACATGCAATCAGAGCATTACACCGCATCATTATAAGTATTCACCTGCCGCCATGTTGTTGCCAAGGAAGAAGGCGGTAGGGTGAGGTACAATAGGGGATACTTTTCACCAACAGATCCCACCCTCTGCCTTTTGCAAAAGTCTCAAGTGGCCCTGTGGCTCAAAGGATCGTAGATGCACTCAACTTTGCCCAGGCTGGAAGTTTACATTCCAATTTCTGGATTTGGTCATATTGGTGGTGCATTCTGCAGCCGATTCTATGCGCCAGGCTCAGATGAAATCTCTTGGGTTCGAAGTCATTTTTCGGGCAGACCGACAATCCAGACCAGAAATGATCGCCCCCTGAAACCCTGCTCTCTGTATTGCCAGATGGAATGGCGGGCCTGTAGAATGAAGCCAATGGAATTGCGCCCTAGAGGCCATCTGCCACCAGCACCCCCATTATCCCTCGCATGCCATCCCCAACAACTCCATCCACACCAACATTTTCCAACCTCACACACTTCTCCTACACGATGGCACGGACCTCACCACACACAACATGGTGACATGCAGTATCTGCCACAGGGCCACTCTCGCTCACTCTCCCTTCTCATCTTGTTAACTTGGCCCGCTACGCAACATGTCACTCGAAAAGGTATACATCGACATAATCTGAATACAGAGGATAAGAATAGTATCGAAATCTACATCATCATATTCTTTGATGCTCAATCTCACTATATCTATAGTGCTAACACCCGGCACCGCAGTTAAGAGCCGAACCTACTAAAGTCCTGGCTATATTGAATGGACATTCCATCTGCGCAAGAATATTCCCAAAATATGGTGTTGGCAAATACACAAGCAAGTCACAATATGATGTCCTCCTGAGCCTTAACATTCACTTCTTACAACATGCTATCCTCCTGAGCCTTGTATGAAAATGCCTTGTCCTAAAAACGTTGCACCAGAAAACTGGGAAACACTTTCCTCCTTGTATATTGCAGAATCGTCCCCATATGGCTACCATCCGCAAATTTGAGGATCATAATAGACATTTTGAAAGTCCATAAGGCATGGAAATTTATTGACCTCGACTCGCAAAGGTTGACCTACAGTGTGGATGCCATATTTTATGAGCAGCTTGCACTATATCATTAGCATTGAACAGCTGCATGTCATCCCCAAGAAATCTTTGAGTCAAATCAGCACTTTGCCACCCCATATGACCCAAAGCTGCTAACGATGAATTTCCTCTCACCCGCCGTGAGTGTCAGAATAATCTCCTAAAGCCACTGACCAACCACGCCATGGCAATCAGCCCCAATGCCTCCCATGTGTCCCTTGCACAGCCCCTCCCGAACAAACACCCATATTCATTCCAGCCACTCTGGACACTTACAAACTCACTCTCGATGTCGCATACGATTACGCTGAAGCTGATTGCCACTTGTAACATTTGATGTAGCCAATGGTGTTAGTGTTGATGTGAATGTCCCATTTTCCATTAAGAATCTGCTTTCCATGTGCGTTGCTACGATTGACAGGAATCCAACCACAGTGCATCAGGGGCGGAAGTTTTGGCATTTATGGAACTATTTTTTGTGGGCCCTTGCTCCACTTGATTGCCTGGCACAAAGTTTTTGGTTCGAGAAGACTGGAGCTGTGGCTAAGGGAAAAGGCAAGTCCCTGGATGTAGAGACTCGTGGTGGGTGGTCGCTATGCTTGGATGTGGGCAATACCTTGTTCATTTTGGGCATAGCATCTGCCTTATTCCTGTTATTTTCCACCACTGGTAAGCTATCATTTGGCAACGAGAACAATTATAAGCGCCTTATAAAACTATGCATTTTTTATTATAGATGTGATGAGTAATTGGATGCGGTGAGGTTGGGTCATCTAGAGAGGGGCAAGGCACCTTAAGCCATCTATGACTTTGAACGAACCTACACGATCCAATTTACCCAAACATTTGTTCTCGCAAGGCAGCAGACTACGATTTGTATCCTCATCTGCATCGGCGCCTTCCGTCATCTTCTCGTCAAGCAGTCGACTTTTAAAAATGATATTCTCTACTCCAAATTTGACAATGTCATCTTTGTCGAATAGCCCCACACATATGGTAAGGACGACCATTGCATCACAAACTTAACAAAATCCCTCTGGCATAAAGCAGGTGCCCCACCTTAAGCAGGAACGCCTCCACTCCATCCTCCTTACTATTGCTTCCATGCAGTTGCCTCACGATCCGAGCATGCACCGGCTCTTTTGCCGCTCTGACTACATCCTCCTAGCCGTCTACTTTGACGTCCTATTGTACAACAGGACATGCCTAGACCAGCCACTGGGAAAACAAAAAGGGTGGGTGGAAAACACAGCTGGATAATATTAGGTTCGACACAATTCATGAGAATTTATCCAACAAGTTCGGATATACAGGGCTTCTAACCTGTTCAGATTGGATACTGAGGGTCGCATCCTTCATCCAGCCAAATGTATGGGTTTCATGTCATCCCCCCAGTCTCGCCTTGCGGCTGTGATAAATGACTCATAAGACTTCTCATACAGAAATCCAAAAGCTCAACCTTGAACAAGGACCTGTCAATCTAAGTGTTGGGTGTGTTGGCCTAAATCCACAGAAGAACATCAGAGTGAACGAGACTAAGCATGCATCACAATGGGAGACTTTAGTGAAAGGAATGTTAGCGGAATATGCAAAGAAGAAGCTGACTAGACGATTGATGACATTGGCAAAAATTGCTGAGTGCCATCACATAGCATGCAAGAGCGATTGTGGGAAAACTGTTTGTAGGACAAGCTGCAGTTATATGGATTAAGCAGGGTGCCACATTGAAGTGGGAAATTCTCAATGGATTATGAAGTGAAAAGATGGAAATTGATTGGAAAATACAATTAAGGGAATTAACCCATGCACAACAAAACACACTATAGCACTGCCCTTCTCTAAAGGATGTGACGCCCATGACTCCCATGAGGATATGCTTTGAGAGACGTGTTATTAAAGGTAGTGACTATGCAACGGACCAAGAAATCGATAATAGCACCCCCACGAAGACGGCAACAATGACTGAGGATGCGCTGGATTTGGTCATCAATCTCGTTGGCTGTTAATAGTTACAGACGTAGGCGTAGGCAGAATTGCCATGGGAGTGATGACATGCTCAATGAGGACTAACAAAATGGGGGCATAGCTCTTTTTGTTTTGTAGAAGACAGATGTCGTGACTGTCGAGAAGCAGTCGATCTCAAAAAGGACACATCTCGATGGAAAAGGACGCGTCTTTGACAGAAACGGACACATTTCGATGACTATGGCTTGCGGTGCATGCCATGCATATGGTAATCATGTATGGAAATGTAGAATATTTGGTGTTATATTGATGTGAATGGGGGCATTAATGTGCTCACCATACA